CTGTGCCCTGCACCAGTCAGTTTTATGGGCTCACATTCATCTCTGTGTGAATGTTATCTGAAGTGACACAACCATTCAAGAGACACATACTTATGTGGTTTCACATGGAATGTTCTGTCTCTGGAACACTATTAGGAGCTTTTTGTCACCACTCTAGCCCCGTTCCCTGCACAGCTGGTGGCACTGCCCGAGCTCAGCACCTGCAGCTGTTCAGAGCATGCAGTATTCCCTGAGGTTCGCTCTCCTCTCTCGGGTGTCAGTGGACAGTTCCCTGGCTGCATGAGCTGTTTGCAAGGCTTTGCCTGCCTGAGGTGTGTTGGTCCTTTCTGGGAGTGGGACAAGGGCAATGCTCTGTCCCTGCCAGTGGTGAATCCTGTGCTCAATCCAGTGTTAAATGCCCCCTAAAAGAATCTGTGTTGAGAGGGAAAGATGAGGAATTTAACAGGAATTCACGTGCTGGATGTTCCTTTTCCTATTCCTCTGGAGAAATCCCCACGTGATTCTTTGTCCCAATGTACCTATTCTCACACAGCTGTAGATTTCCGGAGTGCAGTGCCTGGAGTGCCCAAAGAAATCACCTCTCGTGCCACAGACAGTGCTTTGTGCTGGGGGTCTGTGGAGCCAGTGCCTTGTTCTGCGGTGGTGATTCTGGAGAAGACACTGACACTGGATCTGCCGCTGTTAGAGCTGTGATTTTGCCCCAGGTAATGTGCACATGGTCGAAGCTGATGTTCTGCTCCGTGGTGGCACAAGAAGGAGCGGAGAGCCCATCCTGGCCCACCCGCCTGAGACCGACAGCGACATCACGCTGCAGGAGTGGCTGGCAGAGATGGCCAGCACCAACAAGGGCATCAAGCTCGACTTCAAGAGGTACCTCAGCAGAGAGGCCTTATTGTCCTTTCGTGCTCACTAGGTCACAGCAGACCAAACTGCTTCTCGTGGTGCAATTTATTCCTTCCTGAATGGGGAATGAGGAAATCTATAGCACTGAATGCTATAAAAGCATTTTGAAGTACAAGTATGTTTTGTTCAGTAAATTAGTTCCTGTGCTGTGGTGAGCAGAACTTTCCCACTGGGGTAAGTGAACTGATGGTACCTCTTTGGAAGGTTTCAGTCTTTGGCCCCAGCTCGTTAACTAGATTTTCAGTCAGAATTTTCACCATTGATTGTTTTGTTGTCTGGAAACTCTCTGTCTCTGTCACTGTCTCTGATCTCTATAGCTCTATCTCTAATCTCTATTTTTATCACTATCTCTAGTCTGTGTTTCTATCTCAAATCTCTATCTCTATACCATAACTATATGTACATTCCTGACAGTACTTGTGGCTTTCAGCTCTGATTGAAACACAAGTGTTAGAGCTGCAATGGTTTCTTTTATTGACTTCTTCTCAGGTACCAACAGCACCTAAGATGAAGTGATAACAAGTTTGGGGGCACCAGGTGAGGCAAGCGGCTCAGGGAGCCAGGAGACCTTGAGACCTTCACTCCTGCAGGAATCATAGAATCATGGAGTGTTAAGGGCTTGGAATGGACCTTAGGGATCAGTCAGTCCCAATCCCCTGCCCTGAGCAGGAACACCTTCCGTCCTATCAGGTTGCTCTCAGTCCCAATCCCCTGGCCTGAGCAGGAACACCTTCCGTCCTATCAGGTTGCTCAAGGCTTCAGCCAACCTGGCTGTGAACACTGCCAGGGCTGGGGCAGCCACAGCCTCCCTGGGAAACCTGTGCCAGTGTCTCACCACCCTCACAGGGAAAACTTCTGCCTAAGATCTCATCTCAATTTCCTTTTCAATTTGCACTCATTGCTCCTTGTCCTGTCACTGCAGCTCCTTGTCCCTCTGCAGCTTCCCGTGAGCCCCTTCAGTTCCTGGCAGGTTGCTCTGAGGTCTCCACGCAATCTTCTCTTCTCCAGGCTGAGCAGCCCCAACTCTCTCAGTCTGTCCTCGTAGGGGAGGTGCCTCAGTGCTCTGAGCAGCTTCATGGCCTCCTCTGGCCTTGCTCCAACAGTTCCATGTCCTTCTGATGCTGGGGACACCAGAACTGTATGCAGCACTCCAGGTGGGTCTCAGCAGAGCAGAGCAGAGGGGGAGAATCACCTCCCTCACCTGCTGCCACACTCCTTTGGACGCCCCCCAGGCCTGTATTGGTTTCTGGGCCGAGTGTACACAGAGCTCATGGCGAGTTTGTCATCACCATCATCGTTGATTTCTGGGCCGAGTGTACACAGAGTTCATGGCGAGTTTGTCATCACCATCATCCCCAAGTCCTCCTTCCAGGGCTGCTCTTAGTGACTTCTCCTCCACCCTCGAGGTGTGTCTGGGATTGTCCTGACCCAGGGGTAGAACCTTGTCTCAAGTCTCTTGGCCTGGAAAGGTCACCTGATGGCAGAGAATCCTCAATGTTTGCTCTCTGTAACCACTCTGTACCTGCTCTGCCTTTCCCTCCGGTTCCTGTGTTGCTTGATGTTCCCTGTGTGTCCTGGCACAGCCTGGAGGCCGTTCAGCCTTCCCTGGAGCTGCTGGGGCAGGTGGAGCAGTGCCTGAGACGACCTGTGTGGCTCAACGCCGACATCCTGCCAGGGCCGAATGGCAGCTGTGCGGCACTGGACGCCACGGCCTTCCTCAGCACCGTCACCTCCTCCTTCCCGGACGTCACCTTGTCACTGGGATGGACCACGGGGTGGCAACCCAACCAGCTCAATGAAGGTAAACTGAGACAGGTCGTGGGTTTCTCTGCACAGTCTGATGTCCTTCGGGTTTGTCCCATGGGGTCACTGAGGCTGGAGGAGATCTCTGAGGTTATTGAGTCCGACCATGAATCTGTTGGTGCTGGAACCCCAAAACCCTTACCCAGATCCTCCAGTGCCAGATCCAGATACCTGTTAACACCTCCAGGGATGGTGACTCCACCATCTACTGGGCAGCATTCACTGTGGTTGAGAGAAAGGGCCAAGAGTAAAAGAGGTTAAAAGAGGTTAAAAGATGCCATGTTTTGCAGCTCCATGTAAAGTGTTGCTGTGATGATGTTCCATCCATTTCTCCCCTGGGACGGGAGCGTTCCTGGTTCCTGGCCGGATTGCTGGGGGCTCTGTTAGGGGGTTGGGGGCCGGCGGTGCTGCAGTGCTGCCCACCCCACGATGCCTGACCATGTGCTCCCCACAGGCTACTCGTGGCCAGCGGTACGGGCCATGGCCGAGGTGTGCCACGTGCTGCCCCAGCCCGTGACATTCCCGGTGCGAGCCACCCTGGTGC